ATACAAAGAGTAAACATTGCATTATAAAATTCAACGTATATGAATTCGTCAACCATGACGTTATGTAGCTTAATACAATCGTATAAATATATGTACATATATCCTATAAAAAGAGATACCTATCAGAAATTTCGCAAACGTTTTACCCCCTAGAAGCTTCTCATTTGTCGACACCGCAGATGTTGGACCACAATAGCATATAGTACATAGCTGCCATACAAAACAAACGTTCAAAATCATGCCTTAATGTGTAAAACTTTTTTATTTAACAAGATATCTTCACAACATTGGCATGGATTATTGTTTAAGTTAAGGGTACAATCTCTCGAGAAGTTATTGCGATCGGACTATTATAGCATACAGGTTTCATACAGACTAACCGATCAAAATCAAATTGGATATCTAATGTGTTGTTTTTTTTAATGGTGTTCCAGCTTCGATGCAAATGATGTTTTCGTTTTTTTTCAAATCTTATTCATTATTATTAAACTGACGATTAAGTAGATAAATTTCCTTTAAATATTTTGCTAATATTACCAAGGAAAGTAATTTTACAAAAATAGTTTTATAATTTAGATTGGAGATGTGTAAATAACTGCTGTTTTAGCAGATTAAAAAAAAATTAAGGTAGAAAGCTCAATATAAAAACACCTATTGTGCAGCCTTAATTTGACTAAATTTTAAAACTATTAGTTGTTAGTTGTGTGTGCATGTTTGTTAAATCAATTAAAAATCACGATTTTAGCACTTTAATTCTTTTTACATTTTTGGTCACCACCACAAGTTGTGCCAATCCAAGAGACTAAATATTAATTTAGAAAAATACTTAGCAATAAAATAACATTTCGAAAAATAGGATTTTTGAAAAGCGCGCGTCCAATTGAAAATAAACAATTACGACAACCCACGGATGAGTTGAAAAATAAATATACTTATATTAAGTAAAGAGTTACCATCTCACCAAAAAATTTCTTGCAAACGAAATTCATAAAATTGTATCTTAGACACAATCAATTTTCATGACCTTGAAAAGCTTTCTAAATAGGCCATGTACATTTGTACAAACAAACAAATACATATTTATATAATATGTACATATGCTCACTAGTCTGATTGTGCATAAATAAATTCATACGTGCTTCAGTGAGTCCTCTGATGTTTTTGTTTTTGTAGTAGCATAAATAGTAGTCCATTAAAAGAAGCTGGCATATAAAACATGAATGAACATAGAAGAAAGGAAAAATAATTTTTTTTGAATCAGCTTGAAATTTCAACAGCAAATTTTTGCAAAATAAAAAAGTTGACTTACTTCGCCTCAGCCCGTCAGTTATTATCCGATCTCTGTATATATTATTTCATTGTATAATATTGATTAAATATGTACACACACATACAGATGCGTGCAACTAATTAACAACGACTTGTCCCTATAAATTAAATGACGATTTCTGTAAAATTTTTAAGGGTAAAAATATAATTTTATTTTGAATTATCATCTATGAACTATGAATTTTTGAAAAAATCTCGTTATTCTGAAATAGTTGAGGTCTTTTATGCAATAGTGAGTAAAATTGTCGTGCATATAATTTGTATGAATTAGTTTTCGATGAAAGAAAGATAAAAGGAATTTTTTCAGATGGAAAAACTTATGGCCGCATGTCTTGATGCAATAAGTTTGACCACAAATACACTAGGCTAACTTTAAAACATGGTGGCGGCTGCATAATGACTTGGGGTGCCACATCGTGGTGAGTTGCTGGGCCTATTTGTAAAATAAATGGGCGCATGGACCAGTTCAAATACTTTTCAATCATGGACAACGTAATGTTACCATATCCTGATGACATTATGCCCGTAACGTGAATTTACCAGCAAGATAACGACTTGAAACATACTGCTTATGGTACAAAACAATGGTTTCAGGAAAACTTGGTGCCTCTATTAAAGTGGCTTTCACGCATTCCGCACTTAAACTTAATCGAAAATCTTTGGACACATTTGAAGAAAAGAGTTCGTTCCCAAAAAGTTGGAATTTCCAGGAATTATACGAAAAGGTTAAACAATAATAGAATAATATTTCAAAGGACATCCTGCCAAAGTTTAGTGGAGTCAAAGCCTCTTAGATGTCAAGCCGGGATTGACAGTAATGGGTTTGCAACCAAAAAATAACTTTAAACCCGCAATAAAATATTTTTCCATAAAAAAAAACAAGCGTTGTTAATTAGTTGCACGACCTACTTGTGGCTTTGAAGTCATAAAATGCCTTTATTTTATAAAAAGTCTTTTATAACAAAAAAAACAAAAAAAAAAAAAACTAATTTATAATAACTAAATATGTACAATTTAACTTTAAGACATATCGTTAAAATTTCTTTGTCGAAAATGAAAATATAAACCGATGTGAATTATTGGATATACTCGTATGATTTATAATAGAATCTATATTTTATAAAGAGCCTTTGCTCAGGTCCCTCGTGCTTTTGAGTAAAAAATATAATTTGAACGATGCAATTATTTTCCTTCTGAGCAAACTTTCTGAAAAATTTACACAAAGTTCAGACCCTCCTCACTAGTTGGAATTTAGACAAGAAATTCTATTTGTAAACTGAAATTATCATATACATACATACAGATATATACATATAAATATAAAAGTGAATCCAAAAAATTCTTATTTGATATCAAGTATTTGGTTATTGGAGTATTAACTATGTATATAGCTTTGTATGAGTGTATGTTGTTCTTTTGTGGTTCTTATATTTCCAGTTAGATTTAGGCAAGGGTGGAAAATTTTCCACTCAGAGTGTGAAACGGAGAGAGAAAGCTACCCTTGTGACAGCGCTTTCCAAGCAAACAAGCTTACTTACGTACATATTCACATGCAGAGATATACAATGAAGATTTCATGGCTTTCATTCCATTCAGATGAAATTGTAGAAAAAAAATTTGGTACACTGGTAAAAATATATTAAACCACGAAATACATGCAATTTTTCAAAGCAGTGAAATAAGTGGCCAAAGTTTGGAATAAAGTCGTTTCTTCTCAGCGAAAGAACTGTATAGCTCCCTATATCTTTTTTGAGCTTTTAACAGAGAAAAGTTAACATTCGTGCATGTAAATTATTTTGCTTTTAAAATAAATTCTAAATTATAGACAAGAATTGGCATAATCGAAAAGAAGCAATTTAAATCTGAGAATATAATCAAAACAACTAAAATTGAGCATTCTTTAAAAATGTTTGATGAATATTTTTTTTTTTGCTACAACAATAATATTTATATATTTATATATATTTTATTTCATTTATATAATATTTTATTTCATTTTTTATATATTCATCAAATCTACGTATGTGTGTATGCAAATATATGTAGATATATGCATATGCAAGTGTGATATCCATGAGTTTTGAAGGGTAGCTACACAGACTCGAATGTTTACCCCCTTATCAATGAATGCTAGCTGGTGGAAGAAAGTCGCTCTCAGTCCAGTACAGTTTTCCAATTGGAAATTCCACACGCAAGGCAGTGAAATGCACGACATATGTGTGCATTGGATATTTTATATCGAAAACAACTTCAACCTCAACCGCGCCACGCAAACGCATGCAGTGCTGCGCTGTGTCAGCCAAAAATTGGTGGCGGCAGGAAAACGGCGCACCAATAAACACACAAGCCTCTGCCTCTGCCGAGTGTGTCCGTGGCCAAGTGAGTGCCTTTGAGTCATTCACCCTGAAACCCATGCGCCGTAGAGCTCGCACCAACGCTGACTCGACCGGCGCTGTAATACTCTGTGCCGCGCTGCGCTGCAAGTGTTCTAGATATTGCATTTTCGTCTGCGCGTGGTTACTTTACTTTTTCGGTGTTCATAAATGCACACATCCATACACACACACGTACCAATCTACAAATAAGCATAAAAACGCGTCTAAATAAAAATCAGCTATACGCACACACACACATATATACATAGGTATACATACATACATATGTACATATTTAAATTTGTTTTCCGACGAGTGGGCTAGATACTTAGCCGTTTGAATAGCTCTGTGTCAGGCAGTGCGTTGGCGCTGTGGGAGACGCTCTCCACATGCCCCGTCGGCTGTTCGTTTCCTGCTTTTAAAAATTTATGTATGTATGTAAGCCCCGTATGTTTGTATTGTATGGGAGCATGTTTGAGATGTTTTTTGTTTACAATTTTCAAAAAGAATACCAGGAGCGGCGCACATGAGCAGTGCTGGTCAAAAGCAGCAATAACAAAGAGACTAACGTTCTCGCAACTGCTAAATATTTCATTTAAATCGTTTCAGATGTCTTAAAATAGAAACTACTGAACAATTCTTGACGTAAATTAAAGAAACAGTAAATACAGAAATATAGAAACATATCACAAGTAAGAAAGTATTCTAATATAATAGCTCAGTATTCGGCGCAGACCGCATTAATTCGCTGGATGAGTTTCTGCCATAGCTTTTGCGCAATGTGCATATTGTAGCTACTGGCCATGTGTCTGCCTCAATATATGTACATATGTATGTATATTGATATGTAAGTGCGGACCTTCGTGTGCCGTGCAAGTTGCATAAGCCGATTTTGATTACTCTCTGGTATGTACATATGTATGTATGTATCTGCATTTGGCTCGTGTCCAGAGAATAATTGCTGCATGCCTCGTTCATAAGGCACTAGTAATCGCAGCACACATACACACCAACATGTGCATGTGTGTGTGTGTGATTCTCACCTACCACCGAGCAACGCGTCGCGCAAGCTTAAAGCACATGTGACACCCAGCGGGAGTGGATGGAACGGAGCGGTCAGCCGCACGAGTGCCTTAAGGGTGCAGTGCATGCGCCATCGCCTTATGTCGTGAGGGTTGCTAAAATGGGGTGGGTGGTAGAATACAAGTAGTCGCTGACAGCGCTGCTACATTACAAACGTTTCATACCGTACGGAGTCGTCAGCAGCAGAGCCAGCAGCCGTGCGGTGAGAGCGCGACCGACTGAGTTCTATGCTGACGCATGGCAATATTGATTTTTCCACCTTTTCCAGTCAGTTTTGTGCGCTTGTATGCGCCGTCGCTCAGTCTGTGGGGTGGTTAGTCGTTGTGTGGAAGTCTTTGAAATTCGGTTGTCACGCCAGTGCGTTTGCGTTAAAGATTTGTGTGAAATGTTAAAACAATAGTGAAATGACTTTGTGCGCAGTTCAAAAGCACATTTAATAAATTTGTGAAACGAAATGCCACTATTTTTAAATTCATAATTCTCACAAAATCGAGCAATTTTTGTGGCTGCCAGTGTTCGTTGCTAAAATAAAATACACCTCAGCGTATGTATATATAATACTTAAGCATATACGTATGGATGTATGTATATAACTTTATAGTGTTTGTTTCATTCGGTTTTTGCTTTGTTTTGTTCCAAATATTTTTCGTTGTTATTGTAGCATAAGAAATACATAGTACATATGTACACATATATTAATATGAATCTAAAAACAGAATTCAATAAATTTACAATCCGAATGTAAAAAGCACATACATACGAGTATATATTTTAATGAACATGAAAGCTTATAAAGTTCTGAAAGTCTACATGCCCACATATGTACATTTATATATTTACATACGCATGTTGTGCAAAGTGTTGCATTTGTTATAAATTGTTTATGTTTTTGTATTATTTGTTGTTATTGCTGTTATTTTTACGGGCGATCCACGCAAGCGCAAATGTTTATATAATGAAGCTCCTCACACTGAGCATTGACCTCATTCTCTTATCTATGATACTTGTTTGTATGTACAAATGTACAAATGTACATACATATTTACATATTTGTATATAAGCATTTATGTATACTATATACATACATATTTGAAACACGACTGGAAATTACTTACACCTTGCATATATGGATATTATATATGTACATATGTATTTACATGTATATAATATGAGGCCTAAAGCTTATGCATAGCTGGAACAGAACCTACACTCATATACATACATATGTATGTTTATGTAATTGTGTATGTACAGTGTGCCATTTAAGTCAGGGTATAGCAGGTGCTTTATGATATACATACATACATATGTAATAGGTTTTTTTTTATTAATTTTAAAATAAAAAAATATATCACATAATTTTCTCAACAAAAATGTTTATGAAATTATGCTATAAATCTCTACTTTGTAATGCTTATAGTTTATTTAAAAAAAAATATTATAAAATAAAAATTATAAAAAAAATATATAAACAAAAGTTACAAAAATATATAAAGGAAATATAAAAAATAAAACTTAAATAGTTACTAAATTGAATTCCACAAAGTCATTATAATGTCTTTTCTTTATTTTCTTAAGGGGTTAGGTGGATTTCGGAGGTACAAAAAAAAGGTGTTTTTACGATTTTTTTTTTAATACAAGCAATCATATATTTGAAAAATATAATATGTTATATCAAAGGTATATATTCGCACAATATCTCCTGAAATTTCGATACAAAAATGTTGAAAATTCCGGCGTTGAGACCGCATTTCCCTGGGTGTCTCTCAAACAAGTGCTCTCGCCGTGGACAGTATAACTCATTATTGGTTCATATAAAATTAAAAAACTAAGCATATTCTGTTATTACATATCTAAATCTCGTTTCTGAACGTAGGAAATAAAAAAATATTAAAATTGTCCTTTCCTCGGAATTTGAACAAAAAATCTCATTTTTGGTAAAATTTTCGGCATTTTTTGGTCACAAAAATAAGTTGTAATGAAACAAGAAAAAATCCTTCGTTCAATAACTAGATAATATCATTTCAAAAACGTTTACACAATATCAATCGTGTCCACCGACTTCAAAAACACAGTTTCGAGAAAAACGCGTTTAAAGACGGGGCACTTAGTGCAGCTAGCCTGGAGTGCACAAGTTCTCAAGGCTGTATCTCCGAAATTATTACTCAGATCAACTTTAAAATTTAGGACTATATTCTAGAGGTATTGTAGAACTTAATAAAGCCAAAAAAGAAAACAAAAAAAAATCGATTTTTGGAAATTTCAAACCCTTAAATTAACCAACTAAAAATATCATTTTAATTTTTCGTTGGATAATAGTTTTCAAGTCGTATTCGGTTTGATAAGTTCGTTAAGTCGTCTGGACATTGGTGAAACTAATTGTGCTAAATTCTTTTTTAAATTTTGAGCAAATTGCTTGCTTTGTTTTTTCTTCTCTTGGATCAACACCAACGAGGAGGAATTTTCGCCGACCAAGTTTTTGTTTTTAGTCGGGCATCAACTCATCAGTATAATTTTATATTTTTTGACAAACTCAAGCCATTGGGGTGTATTTTTTGAACACATGAAGTCTCTTCCTTGGTGTTTATTAAACAAGCCAAGCATTTTGATCTTTGTGAAAATAGTTTTTGGATGCAGGTCGTTTTGAAGTGTTTTCTAACTACTAAACTAATTTTAACTGCAAGTTAGAACGGGTCCTTGCCATGTAAAAAACTGTTGCTAAAATCAAAGTACATAGAGATAAAAGCGCATTAACAATCAAATTTAGTACTTATTTGAGTTTTTCCTTATTTATAAGAAACTAATTATTTGAAAGTATAAGTGTTTTTTTTTTCTGAAAAAGTTATATGATATTTTTTTATTTGGAAAATAATATAAAATTGGGTAATTTATATTTAAAGGGGAAATCATCTGCTGTATCATGACTTTAGTGGCACACTGTATTAAGAACATCTATGTATTTGTCGGCAAGCAGCACTTCTTGTTTCTAGTCCGGTGTATTTTGAAACGTAATCAGAAATATTTGCCACGATAAATGAGATATCAGCGCATTTTTCGCCGCCTTTAACTTGCGAGCCGCTCAGCTAGCAAAATACTATATATACGAGCGAAACCTGCACGTATAAAGTAGGGACCCGACGTGAGAGAAATTTGAACAGTAGCGGCGGAGAAAGCGACTGATTGAGTGTTATTTTGCCAACCGATTAAATTTTAAGTAGATATGAAGGAGAAAAGTATGCTAAAATATTGTAAATACGGAATTGGGTATAACCAAACGAAAGGACCAATTGACTTGGGACATAATTGATCCAATGATAAGGTTCTAGGCATGCAGATATTGCAAATAGGTCCATGCCAAAACTAGCAACGCAATCTAATCATAAATCATGAAATGTCTTAAAAATTTTTGAAACAATTTATCTCAAGTAATTGCGATTACAACATCGATGCAACTAAATAAATATTAGCTTTAACGTATGTATGTATGTATATTAGTACGAAAACTCTTTGAAATGCGAATAAGATAGTGGAACTGACATACTAGCCTTATTAATTAATTAGTTCAAAGTGTGTCACAGCCCTTTTTTGGGTGAAATTTGAAACATTAGCTATTGGCGCAGTTTGAAGCTCGCTTAATCGAACCATGACCACACCTACTTCACACGAAATATAAACAAAATCACGAGCCAACTGCTGATATCATTTTAAGCCGTATAAAGAGGAACATTTCTCTTTGCTTATTATGATTCGACGGCAAAAAAAATGATTTCGGTTAATTATAATTTAAAAAATTTCGACTTCGTCTGAACGTAGCTCTTACTAACAGCTCCTTCTGTTTATGTTAAATGTTAGCAAATATATTTTGTGGAACTCCTGATTGCTAACAATTCTAACTTTTTCAATTATTTTCAGATCCAGTACGTCCTTGAAGTAATAATTTAAACCGCGATCACTTATTGCGGGTATGACATACAAATGTCACTCCACGTGTAGTCGCTCTGTGAAACAGTGGAAACCTAACCAAAGATAGGGCCAGGAGCCCAGTAAATTAAAATAGCTATAAATTAAGTATAACTGTAAGAATTTTAAAGTAATCCAGTAACTGGTTAAGTAAGAAATCGACAGAAACCAAATATAAAATGAATGTGACCACCGTTTCAACCGGCACCAGCACTGGCAGTATCAACGCTACCCAACAGACGACCAAAACATACAAAATCGAAATGTTGGATGATGGTCAACTTAGCATGGCCTCAGATGACGACGACGATGATTTGATAAACAGTGATGATAGTATTTACGATGACGCCGATCTGGCACATATAACGGTGCAAGATGATGTGGCCAACCAATTGGCTGCAGCCGGTCCGGTGGGTGTGGCTGCTGCAGCGGCGATTGCATCGTCGAAAAAACGAAAACGCGCACACTCGTTCGAGACGAATCCATCGGTGCGTAAACGACAACAAAATCGTCTACTGCGGAAACTGCGCGGTATAATTTATGAGTTTACTGGACGGGTGGGCAAACAGGCCGTGGTGCTGGTGGCTACACCCGGTAAGCCAAATACCAGTTACAAAGTTTTTGGTGCCAAACCGTTGGAGGATGTGGTGCGAAATCTGAAGAACATTGTAATGGATGAGTTGGAAAATGCACTCGCACAGCAAGCACCGCCGCCACCGCAAGACGATCCCTCACTTTTTGAGCTACCACCCTTGATTATTGATGGCATACCAACACCAGTGGAGAAAATGACACAGGCTCAGCTGCGCGCTTTCATTCCGCTCATGCTTAAGTACTCGACTGGTCGCGGTAAGCCTGGTTGGGGACGTGAATCTACTCGACCGCCTTGGTGGCCCAAAGAGCTGCCTTGGGCAAATGTACGCATGGACGCGCGCTCCGAAGATGACAAGCAGAAGGTGAGAGTGCGTCATCCCATCGTATACTAAATAGACATCATGAATCATAATACTCGCCTTTTACCTACAGATCAGCTGGACTCATGCTCTGCGGAAAATCGTCATCAATTGTTACAAATACCATGGAAGAGAGGATTTATTGCCAACTTTTGCTGACGATGAAGACAAGATTGAAATGCTGGAAGGCGAGGAGGACGATGAGATGGATGAGCACGAACCCGCGACAACATCAACAACTATACAGACGGTTGCTAATGCCTCAACAAATACAACAAACGTAAGTGGCGATATTATATTACTGATTTGACTAAGAATTCAAATTATGGTCAAAATATCAAAGAGATTCATGTGAAATACTATAGTAAAATTATGTAGTTTGTATGTAAAGTACATATATATATTTATACGGTGTAAGTTAAAATCTAGTTACAGTTAAATATATACAATAGTTAATCTGTTCTACTGCGAACACTAAATGTTCATCTTTTTATGAAAAACTAAATTGAACTCCGACTAATGTACAATCAATCGATGCTCCCATAGCAAGTGAATGTCGTAAAGATCAACAGCGCCGGCACAGTTATCTCTACGCACACGGCCAATGCTCAAGCACAAGGCAACGCTGTGCCTACAATTATCCAAAGCACCAACAACCAACACATAACAACCACCGCAACGCTTCCAGCCTCGACTAAGATCGAAATTTGCACAGCACCGGTACAAACGGCTAGTCAGGCGTCACAGGTACAGCAACAGGCCAATGCCGCTGCCGCACAGAGTATTGCAAACGCGCAGGTTTGCATCGAGCCGCTGACTTTGGGCGATGTAGATGTTCGTACTAACAATGAAGTAGCAATTTCTGCAAATACAATTTTTGATGTTGTGCGCTTATGTTCACCTTATTTGATTGATTTCTTCAATATGATTTTTACAAGTGCATATTTTTTGATTTTTTTTTTTGCAAAATTTAACAATTGATTTGTTTGTATGTATATTTCTGACTGTTTACTAAGCATGTTTACGATTTTCAATTATTTTTGTTTGCGTTGCTTTGTTTATTACTTTTATTATTTGCTTTTAATTTGCATATATTTGAGCAGACACAAATAATTAGTTATATTTTGTTTTCATCCCTATTTTCAGTATACCACACAAACGGTGTTGTCCACAATACAAAATGCTGACGGCACAGTGTCTCTGATTCAGGTAGATCCGAATAACCCTATAATCACTTTACCCGATGGCACAACGGCGCAGGTGCAAGGTGTAGCCACCGTAAGTGTAAATTTTTAATTTAAAACTTTTTTCGAAAATTTTGACGCAATTGTTTGTTATGTAGCTACATCAGGGCGAGGGTGGTGCTACTATACAGACTGTGCAAAGTTTAGGCGATGTCAATGGTCATGAAAATATGACTGTGGATTTGACAGAGGCGACTGTGGCCCAAGATGGTCAGATTTATATAACTGCTGAAGATGGACAGGGTAAGAAATTTATCTAAGAGTGCACCACTTAAATTTTTTTGTGAAACTATTTACTTAATTTTCAATCTTTCTTCAATATATTAATACATCCTATACCATTATTAAAACGCTATATTTTGCAGGTTATCCTGTTTCGGTGAGCAACATGATAACAGTACCGGTCTCTGCATCCATGTACCAGTCTATGATGGCCAACATACAACAGATCCATACGAACGGTGACGGCACAGTGTGCATCACACCGATGCAGGTAGATTCTCGTCCCAATAGTAGTAATAGTAGAAGCAACAGCCACAATACCAACAATAGTAGAAACCATTTTCAATGTTATACCTTAACAGCAGCACCAGGTGGGCTGGGCGCCCGACTAATTGCAACAGCGCCAAGTACAGCCTTGCCTTCGACAGAGAATCAAAGCCAAACAAATTTAGCCAATAATAATGTTACGAATTGCCAAATATTTAATCAGTGTAATTTAAGTAATAATACATCTAGTCAAATTAGCCGCTCCGACCACAGCCAGCACCATCAACAGAGGCAACAACAATTGCCAGCCATTCCCGGCACAGCGAAAATATTCATTAACACCGCTAGCTTCGCAACCATAAACAATAACAACTCATTAAACACTAATAACAACAATAAGTTCGGGAATTTAGCCAATACTGCTGCGGTAGTGCCGCTGTCGCTACCAATTATGGTGGCCACCGCCGGAGTGCCTACGGCCACCAGCAGTGCAAGTTCTAACGGTTCGACCGGCGCTGAAACGGGAGCTGGTGCAAGTGGTGCGAATGCAACTACCACAAGAACGACGGGCAAAAGGGGTGCACATAAGCGGCGTAAACAAACTATTGGCAAAGTGCCACCCGTTAAATTGGAGAGGTGTGCAGCCAAAACCCTACTTCAGGGTAATATAAGTTTTGTAGACGATGATGTGGATGGCCAAGCTAACGGTTCGCACGACAATGATAATGTGGTCAATGATGAAGGCGATGGTGGTGCTGGAGATGGTAGAGGCTCAGAGGCAAATATAAACATGTTAGGAGTAGGCCTGCCAGGGAAAATTATAAAAAGTGAAAACGTAGAAAACTAAAGGATCGCGTAGAAATTCATAATACAAATTATTATTATATATTTCGATACACATACATAAGTGCTTATGTATGTGTACATATCTCGTTGATTTAAAACTTAGCCAAAGTAATCCACAATTTACAATCTCACAACGGTGTTTTTGTTTCTAGTCAACATACATACATAATTAACAAATCGCAAACACATCGCACATTCAAATAAGTTTATGTTTGGGGAGTTGTAAACTCTCTCAATAATACCCAATGATAAATGGGGGATGTGTAGTGAACCACCAAGTGCCTTTAAAGATTTGAACGTAGTGAGAGTTGCGCTTTGGAAATGAAGCTTTACTTGGAATCATATAAGAAAACTCTAGAAGCGCCTTAATTCGTAAATGTTTGTGAAACATACTTGCCATTGTTGTTTAATTTTATTTGTTAGTTATATTCTAATTTGCTGCATAGTTTAATTCACATTAATTATTTTATTGTTTGTTTACATTTATGCAGTCACTTTGCATAATCGATATTTATCGATTTTTTTCACTTTTTAGCTTTATCCTATTATTATAGAATGTATACACCGCATATACACAAAAGCAAAACATGTATAATATTTTAAGATTTTTTTTTTGTAGATTTATCGTATGATTTGTAATTGATAGCCAAAGTTGATGTAACGAACCCACATTGAAATAAGTAATTGGAAATGTTCCTAGCTTAAATATGTACTAATATTAATTTTAAATCACGAATTGATCGTCAATGAGCCCACTTGCTAATGCGAAACAAAACCAAATATGAAATCTTTAGCTTATTGTTGTATTTTACATACTTATGTACATATACATAAATATAACATATTTTAAATGTTTTACAGCATCTCATATGTTAGGAAATATTAGGCCGATTAGATTGGCAACAATTTCAAATAGTCAATGATGATATCGGAGTATAGATTGTTTTTAAAATTGTTACAAATTATACATTTCGAAATGACGTGCATAACTGGAAATTTGAGTCGAATGTCTTGTCGCCATGGTTTAGCTTACCATTTGAATTCATTTTCATAAAAAATCCCAAAAATCGGTTTAAAAATCAAATACCACATTGAAAATAAAAAAATAAACCCATACATTGAATTAAAAATTAAAAAAATCCCAAAAATCGTAATAAAAATTAAATACCGGATTGAAAAAATTGTGCCAAACATTAAATTAAATGAATAAATAGTTTTTGAATTGACTTTTTCACGCTTTCGTGCTTTGAGTTCTAACATTTTAGATATCTTTTGAAAAGGAAAGCTTATTTTTAATAAAATATCAACGTAGTTTAACCCTCTTTTTGTCTTATTTGTGTTTAATTACTTTTAATTGTAGTGTTTCAGTTAGAAATATGCAAATCTTTCCAGTTTTATCCCTTTTCACTGCAGCTTTTAATTTAAAAAGAAAAATTATGTGTAACTCCAATTTTTAAAATAAAAAATAGTTCCTCAATTTTTAATTTAATATGTTTGGGATTAAAAATTAAAAACTAAATTGGATTAAAAATAATTAATTTTTAAGCCAAGTTCTTGGGATTAAAAATTAAGATTTTTAATTTAATTTTTATTTACCTAATCGAAATTTTCGAAATCGAAAATCGCAACCCTGCCTGTCGCCTAATTGCAATGTAAACGGCCTAGAATAAGTGCAATTGTATATATTAAAATTAATTTTGTTGCCATCACGTGCGACTCTCAATCCGTGTACGATTCGAGCACACATAATGACACATTTCTTTAGAATAGCAAATTTGTTCGACATTTTATTTAATTTACTTATGTGTTTTACATGCGATTATTGTTTTGTTTTGAGTTTGGATATACTTGCAATGTAGCTATAAATACTTTCGGTTGAATATTTACACATACACATATCTACAAATTCATATTTTAGTTCGACTTGTTTGTAATTATTGTAACTATATTATTATTATTTTTTTAAATTTTTGTAAATATATAGTTAATACAAATATATTTGATTTGAAATGTAAACAATGACAATTATTTCATTCTTTATTTTTTTGTTGCAAGAGCAGAGTAAGTTTTTTTCATTTCTAGTTAGAATTATTTATTTAAATCTTTTGTTTATTCCAGTTCTTATTCATTTACAGTTTCACAACAAATTTCAAATCTGAAATTGTATGTATTTCTTATTATATATTTGGGAACTTTGTATATATTCTCTACTATAATTTTTTTATGCTACATTGAAACTTTTCGACTTCTTTTCCAGGTGGAAAATGGCGAGCAATTGGAGACCATAACTGTTTCGCCGGGCATGCAGCAGATGCTGATACAGGGCGCACCCGGTACAGAGCCGCAAGTGCTGCAAGTTGTCAGCCTTAAAGACGCAACACTCCTTAGCAAGGCAATGGAGGCAATCACCGGGGGAAATGTCAAGGCTGAGGACACAATAATAATGGAGCAATAAGTTATTTATCAACAAAAAGTGCTGATAAAATAAGAAGCCCATCTTTAATGGTTAAAATATATGTTTACTCCGTACGTTTATTTGTATTGTGGTAGATGTTTACAAGCATTTTATTTTGTTATTTTATGATTTCGAGTCGATTCTTTTTGGTTATATTTGGTATACACATATGTATAAGAGAATTAAATGTACCTGAGCGGTAGTATTAAACTATTTGTACACAACACCATATTATGTTAATTTTTTATGTTTGTTTTTTAATATTTTTTACACAAAAAATGTTGTTGCTCACTTTAAATTTTGTAAAACACTATAGCTAAACCAATAAGCTAAAAGAGTTTTCGAAACAATTTCGTGACAATTTTTTTAGAAATATATTATTATATAGATATACTATTGGAATGCTCATTATGTTAATAATAATGCATTAAAATTTGTTTTTTCCCCGAACTGTTGTTTATTTCAGTTTGTTTTTTGATTTCAATATTTATTATAATTAATTTGCATAATTTATAATACCAAAAAAGTAATTATATATATTTAAAAAACTAGTAGCACAAAGAAATCCCGTGTGTTATACTTTACATACATACATATGTACAAAACACACATACATAAATACGCATAAAACTATATATATACCTACATAAGTGCGTAGACAGTTGGGGGTTACCTTCTATACATCAAATTGAAAGTTTTGAAAAAAAAATTTTTTCAACATAAAATTATCCCAGGCGTTTAAAAAAATGTACTTAGATGTATTTATTTCGCAATATTTATTTAAATAGTGAATAATTGAAACATTTATGATATTCCTACTAAGCCTCTTGTAAATAACTTCCTAATACACTCCAAAAACATATGTAATAAGCGCAAAATAAAATATATTTAATATATAGCATATACTTACATACGCTTTGATATGTAAATAACTACATCAGTGTTGGAAAACTGTTTGTTTGACAGTTTTAAAAATTGTGCAAATTTCTATAATCCATTCTAGTCAACAATTTATCGATTGTAATTTAAAACAATTGTTTCTTTCTTTACTTTATTGCAATTTAGTCGTAAATAATTAAGTCGAAAATTACATTGCGTATATCGAAATGGAACTAGTCATTTTATTATAGTAATTTGGAATCGATTAATCTGTCTGTAACTAATTGAATATTCTCCCAAAAGAATCAATAAATTATATACTCATTAAGCTTAGTATGTTAGAGGCATAGTTTATGCAGATAATGTGAATAAAGGGAAATAATTTTTATAAAAATAATTCAAATAAAATATACAAACTCCAAATTACTCCCACGAGTTGTTTCACTTTTAAATGATGTCCAGTATACCTTTTAGACTTTATTTAAAACTGCTTAGCAGAGTGAATATGGAGTAAGAAGATTTCACGACCTGAAATAAGAATATAAATTATTTACATGATTATTACCAACGGTGCTTTGAAAATATTAAATGAAAACTTGTGATTTAACAATTCAAGATATGCTAAAAGCTACTGATGAATATTTCCAACGCTGTGATGAATATAAAATCTCTTTTACAGGTTTCAACTCAACTCCGTTTTGATTGAAATTTTGAAATTCGGTTATCGCTATCAACTGCTGGCAGAATTTTTCTGCTGGATTTGTGCTAGTAGTTTGAGTTCAAAATCCACCACGGTTATGTGTAACACATGCAATGGATTAAGCCATCTTAAGGCTTGTAGCTCAAACAGGCAGATGACTCCAAACATCGTGAGAGAATCACTCACCCACTCCTGAGTCCGCGCGCAGTCTGTTCCGTGGGCCATACCGCCATATGTCGGAACGTCCAACAGTCAAGTTCAATTCTTGTACAAGCTGGTTTCACTTCCTAACTTCTGAGTTGTGCAAGTTTCAACGTTATACGTAAGGATGGCGAGTGAGAGTGGCTTAGCCTTCATACTACACAACACTGAGCAAAACGGTTTTATAGATGGCGACATTTACTGCAGGAACCACCACCACAACGCACCAGAATTATGGGCACTTGTAATAGCTCGCCTGATATTACCATTGCTAGTGGTGGTCTTATAAATAGCATAATCTGGCAACCATCCCAGCCGAAGCAGCTTTTATCGCTAACGCCAATTCGATCCCTGTGATCCCCGAATAAGGAATCTCACTTTTTATATTCGTCTAATCTGAGGAGACGTGATGACCGAGTTGAAATTCAATTCGATGACCATGCCTCCTCGGACACGAAGAAGTGCGCGAACTATTTTAGCCAGCAAGTCACTCTGCATCCTTAACGAAGGACCTAAATCTGTCGCTCACCACTTTTCATACACATATGGCTGGAAAGTCGGAAGACCTTCTACTGAAACCTTCGAAACCTGCCAACAAAGGGTAGTCTTTTCTATAACTTTCCTTTCCACAGTAGTGAAGTCACTTGTTTTCTTGCTATTCCCGCATGGCTTCCGTAAAGTGAATAGCACCACCACAATACATAAACGCCAAGATAATCCCTAGGCTAAACCAAAGTCCACTCAGTGATAGGATCATCTTCGGAGCGTTGAACTTGTCAGAAGCCGTTGACACAATCAACCACACAATGCTCAAGGGTTGAAGAGGTGAACTATGAACTATCTGGGAAATCATTGAAATAAAAAATTGAGAAGAATGAAATAGGAGCTTCCCCCCCCCCCCCAATGGAATAGTGGAATGTGCTGAAAAGCAAACGGCTATCTCTTCGACCATTCTTGCTACTTCTCTGCCAATAAAATTCTCAAGTCGCAAGCCGACAGCTCATTGGGAAAAGATAAAGACACGTTGTTGGCAACATAAAAGTCAATCGAAGGAAGCTTCATACATATCAGAACACTACACTCCGGACTATAACGGGATGCCTATTGATGTCTTCGGTCCAGTTTCTACTGGGATGCTTTCACAAAAACCAGCAAACACCACTCACCTAACTCTCCTCATCCTAATGTACCCGACCTCGTCGAACTTGCACTTTTCCTGGGCTGGTTGTTAGCTGACTCGATGGCAATAGGATCATCGCCCCTCCTCAGTCAACTATCCTCTTGCAACAACATAGTTCCATAGCTCCCGATCAGACGAAGAATCTTTACACCGTTTGACGTATCTTGAACGACCCTGCATATTGCGCAACTATTTGGTTGCCTGAGACCTCACGCGGCAACGGTTGTTATTTATTAAAGCCAAACAATAATTCTCAATTCTGATGATCCTATATCGAATGTTGCGCAGGCGCAACGTGAAATTGAAAATCGTGATCTCAGCGACATTTGGTTTCCACAAGACGGCGTCACTTCCAAAATAGGTTTATTAAGAGAACACTTCGGTGAGCAGATAATTTGACGTTTTAGGTCGGTCGATTGGCCACCAAGATCATGTGATATCACATCATTAGACTTTTTCCTGAGGAGATACCATATATAACGTCTAAAGTCTATGAGGAAAATCCTGCTTCGACTCAGGCCTTGGGGAAAAGCATCACGCGTGTGATTCGACAGTTACCAGTCGAAATACTCTAACGAATCATTGAAAGTTGGACTCAAGGGATGGACCCTGGATGGATCTGAGACGTAGTCGCAACCAATATTTGAAAGAAGTAATTTTCAAAATGTAAATGACAAATAACGTTGTTTCGAATGATAGCAGACATTGAAATGATAGCAGACATTAAATTTGAAGTTTTTGTTTTTTCTTTAAAGAAGAGGATAACCTCAAAATGGATCACCCTTTATAACCATACTCACTACTAGTGGCAAAATCTTAGTTAGGACTATTTGCTATGCGAAAGAATATTATAGGTAAATCAAAATGAAATTTTTTGAAAAAGAAGTTTTCAAATGTATAAGCCACTAGAACAGCGAAGAAAAACCTGGACTCACAAAAACCATCGGTCATCTATAACCATTGGATTATGATTATGGTGGAAAACTAAATATATCGGTTAGCTCGTTGTAAGCCGTGAGGAAATAACAACATAAATTGAAAAAAAATTGATTGAATCAGCTAGCCTCTTCTTATATAATATATATTAAGTTTTATTTAATACGGTCATTTTACGTTTTTATGAATGAAAAGTACTACATATGTATGAAAAAGTATTCACTACAGATGACTAAAAAATTCAAACTTGTATTGTTCATAATAACATCAATAAGAAATAAGAAAAAATAATATTTTCAAAAATAAGTAGTACCATTATAGAATGATTCATTATGTTGTCGAAGTGTATGATCAAGCTTAACCTTTGGCCTATATATGTTATTAACTTACCATTACAAATGTTGGCAGCCTTACTGGTATCCAATTGCCCGCCATTAAGACGTTCACGCGCTGTGAGCGGAAAAGAAAGAAGCACAATACCTTTTTAAATTCACTGCTCTGAACTGTCCAATTGCAATTGTAAATGGCCTTTGATAGCTCCTCGCACTCCTGACAGAATAGGTCGCCATAATAGCAAAGAATTAGAGTTTCCATTGTGACTGACACGAAGAAGACCGCCATATTCAACATAATGGAAATGTTAAAGCCCACATACAGCATATAAACCCCTATGGTGCACTGGGCCACGCCAGTACAAACAAACTGAGCCATAGATGTGCCAGAGATGGGCTTTTGTATGGTTGAAAATAACCTGTAAAAGAAAAAAAGCAGAAACAAATGACAACAACAAATGACAACAACAAATATGGATATAGCTTATTCAAAAAATTATATCAGTAAAATACGAACTCTATAATCGTTTTGTGATCCTTGATGCATGACACAAGCTCATCATAATTCCGATTCATTTCATCCTCCTTTGAGCACGTAAGCTCTGAAGAAGCGCCGCTGAAATTTTGACGACCGATTCGTTCGATACGTAGCGATAGCGCCCGAATGTGGGCGGTAAGGACACGCATATAGGCTTGCGGATAAGTGTCTACCGAGCAGGCTTGTGTGCATTGCACTAAAAACCCAATGGTTTGATAACCATACGCAATCCAAAACTTTCTTCGTGATGCCTGATAATCGAAAGGATACCATGCTGGGTACATGAGACGTGCCTCCGCTGAGAAAATAACCATTAATTGACTGGTGACGAAAGCGCTATAAAATAGTCGTAAAATGATTAGAAAACATTTCTTGGCTGAATCAATGCCCTCCTGTAGAACATTCATTTCTTCTTCGGTTTTCGCACGTGCGTCCAGGCGCTTAAGTATCGGTCTCAGCTCCAACAATTGCCGACGTACACAAAATAGTGTGAGGAACTTGATGTTAAGTGTCATGTCGGCCATGGCGATATAGATCACTTCGCAGAAGTCGTTCAGGTTATCTGCTAAGAAACTTTCCACCGTAAAGCATATAGGGTAGTAGATCGGAAACAATAGTGTTATCGCAATTGTGTACAACTTATACGGAATATACCAAACAGATTGTCTCTGCGGCCCACGAAAGCCGCTCAAGTCCCAGACGCGCCAGTGGTACTTGAAAGCATCCCAGCTATTGATTTTCAATGTCATTGGTAAAGTTTTCAAAGAACGATGTCAATGGTGTCAATGGTGTCAATGTCTCAACTCACATTGACATCAATGGCACAGAACTTTTTATACTCACCGCTACGTTCGACTACATTCCCTAAGCGAATATATAAGTGAAGTGACCTTGTAATTTGGTGCCAAACATTCAGAAAAATAGTTGTTTGCAAAGTAATTTTTATGTTCGAATGCAATTCTATACCCAGCGTTCATTTCACAAAAGTGAAGTGATCATAGTCAAGTATGAGACTATAAGATTTTGTTCAAAATTTTAAAATTTTTATTTTTTCTTCAAAAATATGTCGTTCCCTCAATGTAATCCCCTTTGGCCCCAATACTCTTGTTCCTATGTTTTTTCTCATTTAATTCTCGAAACAGTTGTTAAAGTCCATTTCCGGAGTAGCCTTCAATGCGCGTACCGATTCATGGTTTAATGGTTTCAATTGACTCAAGAAGGTTTCTACAAGGCGGTCGAATTTGCAAAATTTCGAATGTCCTGAATAGCCAGAATCATACGGAGCCTTGATTTTTGACCTGCTTTGCGTTGTTTTTTTGCTTTCTTGCTTCTTTGCTAATATTTGCCCGATAGATCATCTGTTTTCGTGCTATAAGCATGGATTTAAGACTCAGCGCCAGTAATAATACGTTTCATCACATTTTGGTACGTACGGTGATTTTGAAACCAAACTTGTTTTCACTTTTCTTAGGCCCAAATTACTATTTCAAAATGTTTTCGCTGATTCTTCCGATACTCCAACGATGCCAGTAAGATCTGTGACTGTTAATCGTCTATTCTCAAATATCAATTCCTTTATTCTATTAACGTATGGATCATCAGTTGGTGCTGATGGCCGTCCTAGACGTGGTTCTTGACCCTCTTTAAATAATTTATACCAATCAAAAACAATTGCTCGCGACAAAAAAATGAGCATCGAAGAACAACATTCTGAACATTTCGGCACCAGAAATTTGATTCCGCACCCAAAATTTAATGGAACTTTTTTGTTAAATAATTTCGTTCATCATAAAACCGTCGAATGCACCTTATGTATTTCAGTGAGACAAACGTATACTAATCACTAATGATTATTCTGATATGATATTTGGCACAGATGACACTGACAGTCGTACCAACCAAGAAAAAAAAAAAAATAATAAATTTCGACGAATGGGTTTTCGTGGAAATTTAAATGATTAAAGTCATATCATTTTTTACCCACAGTAACTATCCCGATATGAATACAAACTAATTTAATTCTGGTTTACCAAATTTCAAGATTGTTTTAAGGTAAAAAAAAAAGTTTTTGAACAGAATGCCTGCCTTTAATATTAAAAATAGGGTTAGGGTATATTTAATTTTTCTCGGAAATAGTACCTCCTTACTTGCTTTAATGTTGGATAATACATGAAAGATATACATATATTAGGGATGTTATAAACGCTAAATTACTTTGTCTTTAATGAGAGTAATTTAAAAGTTTCAAATACGTTCCTTAGAACTAGTTTAAAATAAAATATTTATTTAGTAGGGCAGGGTAAATTTCAAACGCCTAAAAGGAATATTAATGTTCAATGTAAGCATTCCAACTATGTATATTCGAGAATTAGTCTAACTTACATATGTTATGTACCTTTTGAGTGCTTAACTGTTTCGTTAATGATAAAATTAATGGCCAACGTTATTTTTAATTTGTTAATAAACAAATCGTATATATTTTTAGTTTGTAGCAATTCATTGTAGAATAACCTATTTGAACAGTTCTTTGAGATCAAGTTTCGCTAGAGTGGAATGGAAACATAAATTCGTTCCTCAAGCAAATTAAAGACATAGTGGGCTTTAATAAAAAGAGATAAATACGAGAAGGGTTTTTATCGAAACAAATTCAACAATCTCTTTTTCAATCCGTAGATTATTTAATAGTACGTTATGATAACTCTACTCTCGAAATCAAATTTTGGGCAGTCTTTTTATTTTATTTAAAAAAAAACCAAAAATATTTTTAGTATCCATTTTTGTTATGGTATTTTTTATTGATATCTTAAGAATACAGAAAAAATTTTTTGAAAAAATATTAAAAATTCAAATAATTAGAGGAGGGGAGAGACAGGTGTAAAAAAATGGCGCATCTTGGTGACATTGATCCTGACTCTCCTGGTGGTCTGAAAAAAAAAATCAAAAGAAATTCTTAATCAGTAAGGATGCTGTTATAGTCCCTATTTCAGGGAACACGAAAAAATTTTTGTTTGAAAAATGGCGATTGCCTGAAAACAAAAATAATTCTTTGCGCTTTTTTTTTTAAATTCCTGAATTTTTTTTTAAATATTAAAAACAAAGGATTAAGGATTATATAAAGATAAAGGATAAAGGATTATATAAGGAAGGTTCACACAAAATTTCAAGTAAATCGGTCGTATAGAACTTGAGATAATGCCGGTACCGTGGAAAAAAGTAGTTTCGAGAAAAACGCGTTTAAAAAGTGAGCCTACCTAGGTACTGCGTCACTAAAGTAACTGTAGCTCTTAAATTAATTTTAATTTTTAAAAATCCTTTGGAAGATATGTACTTAAGGGTCTAAACTTTAAATATATGAAAAAAAAACGAATTTTTCAAAATTCTACCCCCTTAAGCTTTACGTAAGCCTTTTAGGGATATGTTGTGGTCCAAAACTTCTTTTGTTAAGTCAGCCAAAAATATGGTTAAAAATTTATGTAAATATGCCATTATATAAATATGTGTGTTACATACATATATCTGGATCTTACTCAAGGAACCATCTCCTTTTTCTTATTTTTGTCGTTTTGATATGTTAAAGAAAGAGATGTCAACTGTTACAACCAACCGTTCGGTGAAAGAAACTGATAGCGTAACATGAGGTTTCGTTATATATTAAGTATATTCCATAATCATATATTTACTTATAAGAAATGCTTTTAAATAAGGGATAAAGAATAATGTATAATAAAATATACGAACCAGTCATAGTCAGTTAATATTCCACTGCTTTTCGAATTAATAACGTCCCGGAATGCTGAGAAAATATGTGCTTCAATAACTAGTTAATTGTGATGACGAGAAATACGTACTATGTTTGTCAAGTTACGTTTGATATAAATCAATTTTCCACCCCTTAAAATTCCTTTGCATAAATGTTCATTCTTTTCTTTGCCAAATACGTTTGAAGATATTGTACAATACAAAAGTTGACTCAATCTGTAAATAATATATTGCTCCTGCGCCAAATGTAGCAATTTTTATACTCTTGCAACATGTTTGATAGATAGTATATTATATTTATTTTGCCCACCTCACGGTTGTGTTAATCACCTAAACTACATAGACATGGCACCGTGTTCTGGAGCGAATTTAAATAAAATTTTTAGGTAAATAAAATTTTCAAGTGGATTCTGTTTGTAGGTTATATTAGAAAGAAAAAAATAATGAAAAAAAATACACTTGGCGCTTTTTTGGCAACGAAAATAGGATTTTTTGCTTCATTTTCAAACTTTGATCTATAGCTTCTTTTGAAAAATAATGTAACCACCTAGCATTAAGAGGTTTTCCATAAGATTGTGATAATGATAATGAATTGTCACCATTTTTATTTAATTTCTCATTTTCAAGCACCATGAACACGATGACTAGACAAATTGAAATCCGGGTGACTTCCTGTCTGTCCATCTGTCCATGCAAGCAAAAAAGTAGGGAAGATTTCCCACCACATTCATAAATCACCACTGATCCAAAACATATAAAGTGCCATAACTAAGTCGTAAATGAAGATATATAGTAGAACAAATTTCGCGCAATTAATCACGTTAAAAGGAGGATGAAGTCATGTGTAGAAGTTCACGTGAGTGAGGATCGCCATTCACTTGGGAGTGGCCAGAAAGGATTCTTTTACATATGCCTTAAGCAGCTTATGACTTAAAGTTAAAAAGAGAAGGCGAAGCATCCCCTCCACAGGGTTGTGCGCTGGGTTTGGGATACGCCACCTTAGAATCAGTACCAATGAAATCTAAACCACGGCCTTGGGTGAGAGACCCCCTAGTGATGATGATGACATTGGCAAACGAAATAAGGACTACGATCTGAGGGCATGCACCTGGAATATCCCGCCCTTTAATTGGGAAGGTTCCACTGCCCAGCTGGTTGATGTCGTTGGAGTGAAGGACCGCCGTCCATAAATGCGATGGACGGAATAATAACTGAGGCGAGTAGGTCCTTGTGGCATTTACTACAGTGGCCATATAAAGGAGCGCAAATTTGGTGTGGGATTCGTGGTGGGAATTGTCATTCACCCCGGTGGATGAATATCTAGTCACAATCCGCATCATTGCGCCCACGCCCCGACGGAAGAAAAGGACGATGTGACCAAAGATGCCTTCTATGAACGCGTGGAGCTACCCCGCCAGATATCAAAATCTTACTTGGCGACTTTAGCGCCAGGGCGGACAAAGAACATATCGTTGGCACTACGGTCGGTAAACCTCCACGACGAAACAATTAGATCGGGAAGGACCTCTCCGAGCCGTTTGATACTAAACGAAGTTTCAGACAAGGTGACTCCCTATCGTGCGATTTCTTCAATCTGCTGCTGGAGAAAATAATTCGAGTTACAAATCTTAATCGAGCAGGTACAATCTTTTATAAGATTATATTGATATTATTGGTCTCAACATCCGCGCCGTTAGTTCTGCTTTCTCCAGACTGGACAAGGAAGCAAAGGAAATGGGTCTGGCAGTGAACGAGGGCAAGACGAAATATCTCCTGTCATCAAACAAACAGTCGTCGCACTCGCCACTTGCCCACTGTTGACAGTCATAACTTTAAAGTTATAGATAATTTCGTCCAGTGTAAGTACCACCAACAATGTTAGTCTGGAAATCCAACGCAGGATAACTCTTGCCAGTAGGCGCTACTTCGGACTCAGTAGGCAATTGAGAATTAAATTCCTCTCCCGACGAACAAAAACTAAACTCTATAA